GACAGTCTTTAAACAAATGATCAGTTTGTCCACAATTAGCTCTTTTGTTTTGCTTATTACGGCAATTTCTAGCAATATGTCCTTTCTCATAACAATAATAACATTCATTTTGAGGACAATTTTTATACTTATGTGTTTTTAAACTGCAAGTTCTACAAGGATATGAAGTCCTAGAGCGAGATTAACTTCTATGACAAGGTTGGTAAGTAGTCTATCCTTCTTCCTCTTCAAGAAGAGAAGATGTATAGGCCTCATGTGGTGTCAAATATTCTTCCTCATATAACTCATAATCCTTAGGAGTAATACATGTAGGCTGTTTCTTTTTTGGTTGGTCTTGTTCGTAAGAAGTGTCCAGAACAATTTTCTTTCCTTTTCAATACATTGTATATTGGCGTGTTTTCCAACTATAACTAGCTTCGACCTTTCTAGACCAGTCATTTCCTAACAGTAGAGAGTAAGAAGTAGCAGGTACTACTTCGACATCAATTGGAATAGTTCTTCCTTGAATTTTCACAGGTAAATTATAGATAATTCCCAAGGGTCTTGATATAGTTCCAGTGGCAGCGACGATTAAACTTTGTGATGGTTCATCGATTTTAAGACCTAATTCCTTTATAGTTTTGTGGGCAATCATACTCACAGATGTACCACTATCAATAATAGCTGGATAAGTTCGATCCTTAATATCTACATGACATTTAACAGGAGTAATATTATTGGTAGGTTCTGGTTTGTTTCAGTAATATAGGCAGTAAGTGCAGTTTGAATAGAATAGTTGTCCAAAAGTCTTTCCCAGTTTTTAGGTAGAGTAGAAGTTGGATTAGATTTTTCAGCCATGTTCATATTTCGGTAGTAGGGTGAGGGAGAACGAGTGGATCTGGGTCTCTATCTTTCTTGACTTCGGTCCCTAGACTTGCTTCTATTTTGAGAGTAGTTTTGAGAATAGTTTCTTTTTCTACTCCTGCTTCTATTACGAGATCTACTTCTGTCTCTTTGAGAATTATTAGACCGATTATTGTTGTAGTTGTCATTATTGTTATAACGGTTGTTGTTGTAGTTATTATTGTTGTTTTGGCGATAGTTGTCATTCCTGTTGTTGTTTCTGCTATTGTTACTTCTAAAATTGTTATTTTGTTTAATTTCTGCTTTTCTAGCATTGCAGTTCTTTATAAAATGACTATATTTTCTGCAATAATGACAAATGTCTTTTCTCTTTTGGCTATTTGCAGTTTCAACAGTATAGGCAGTTTGTTGTTGTTGTTGGACAAGGTTGATACTAAGTTTAGCAATTTGGTCAGTAAGTTAAGTGATAGCCTTGGTAGTGTCGGTATCAGTAAATGCGACCAATCTTCCTGCTTCTCATTGTTTGGCAGTTTCAATGACTCTATCTAGAGTATTTCTGTTAGCAGCTTGTACAGGTATAGCAAGTTCAGGACATAATCCTTTAATAAAGTGTTGGATAAGAAAAGCTTCTGGTAGTGTAATAATTTTATCTTTTAAATTCTTAAATTTTGCAACATAAACATCTATGGTATCAGTTCCTTGTTTCAACTCAAAGAAACTTTGTTGCCAAAGAGCCTTTTGTTTATTATCACTAAACCTGGTTTTGAAGAGAGGTTTGAAACTAGTGTCCGGAGGTCCATCATAGGCTGTCATTGTTACTTTAGTATATCTTTTAACTCATTTTTCGGCAATTTCTTTCATATATGCTTTAGCCAAGGCAAGTCGTTGAGTTTTATTCCAATTGTTAGCTCTAATGGCATGTTCAAATTCATCAAGCCAGTCAATAGGATCTTGGGTTCTATCACCTTTAAAAGATTCAATTTTAATAAGATTCTTTTCGCTGTTACCTTCTAGTTCAAGTGTTTGAGCAAGCCGAGTCAAAGCTTGTACAGCCATATTTAGATTTGTAGCTATATCTTCTTCTTCACTACTTGATTCTGATTCAGATGATTTTTCTTCAGAGGATTCTACTTCTTTAAATAATTTTGCTATAGATGATTCTTCTTCAGATAATTTGGTTGTTTCCGATTTGTTATCTTCTGCAAACTTGTTATTAGCAAATAAAGTTGTATAATTAATGGTATGGACTTGAGTATGGTTGGAGCCTGTAGGTAAAGTAGGTTGACTTTGATTGTGATCCCAAGTTTGTAGGCCAGGAAAACCTCCAGGAAGTTGTAATACAGTATCTTCAAGAAGTGGAACTTGTTGAAATTGTGAGCCTGTCGCAGGATTCCAAGGGTCAATTTCAGTTCTATCTTGGGGTTGGTCTACTTCCCAATAATTAACAATAGAAGTATTGTCTATAGTCAGGTATATAGAAATATATTCAACTTGGTTGTTGTCATTATTAAATAAATTTTCTTGCTCCATGTTAAAAATAGTTTCTGGAGTAGAAGAGCGAATTTGTTCTTGTTTCTCAGTTAGATAAGAAGAAGGAGCTCCAGATAGTACTAATTCATCAATACTATTGACGTCAGACTCTTGGTTAATTAAATTAGTAGGAGGAATTATAGGACTAGGGGTAGAAGTATAAAAATCAGCCTTTAAAAGATCAGTACTATTTGAAGAAAAAGAGGACTCAGTAGTTAGTGTAGGAAATTAAACGTTAGTTATATTTTCAGGAACTTCAGCAGATTGATAAAATTGTTGTTCAGTATCAGATTTAAAAATTGCAGTAGTATCAGGTGAAAATGTAGTAACTTGAATAGAGCGGTCAGTATGTTCTAAGTGTTGAGAGATTGATCCTAATTCTTCAGAATATTGAATATGTTGAATAGATAAAGAAGAATTATTAGGGCGATCAATATATATATCATAATGATTTTGATCTGCTTCTTCAATCTGTAAGATATTAATATACGAAGTAAAACGACAAAATAAAATAGAAATTACAGAATGAGGAGCTGGTATATTATCACTGTATCTGCAACTAAAAATAATATCACGAGCAGCAAAACGAGCAAGTTTCCGGTTAACAGTACGTAAATTTTTAAAACTTTGCTCAATGACTGAACGATAAGATGTAGCGTTATAAGTTCTAGAATACCAATTCCAAAAGTCACCAAAATTTGAAAAAGTAGCTATACATTGAGGAGGATAGCACAATTTACACGATAAATCAGGAGAATAAGCTTGCAATACTTCAATAGCAGCGGCTGTTGGGTTAATATGTTTGAGTTGATATAAGTCAATATTGTTTTGATAAAACTTTGAGAGAGTATCTGTTATAAGAGTTAATGAAATTATCTTCCAGAGATAATGTTAGTAGTAGAGATAAAATAAAATAAAATATGATTTGGCCAAAAAATAATAATAATAATAATATGCGCGCGAAGGAAGAATAAAAGAAATAATAATCAAACAAAATAAATGATGTTAAACAGTTTAAACAATTCAATACAATTAATACAATTTATAGCTATTCAATACAATAAGCTGGCAGACTTGCAAGAGA